CTACTGAAATTCTTGCTCTTCACATAGCAGGTGTTGTAGGAAGCAATTACATTCAGAAGTCATAGAAGCAACTACATTCCCATGGACACTCTACACGCTGGGGGAAAAGACTTTTCCATTTTGTTCTTGTTCCACTGCACCTTCCCAAACTCAGAACCCAGGTATTCACACTATGCAATATGAGAATTTACTCCAAAACCAAATAACTAGTTTGGAGTACTGGAGGAGAAAAAAGCACCTTATGTGACAGATCAAAGAGCCTACAGGCAGTGCAATGGACTAATCAACTAAGGAGCTATATGTGTAAATGCTGGGTTAAAAAATTATTCAGCCAGTGGAGATTATCTGTCAGGTAAATTTGTAGTTGTAAATACTTTTGTAAAGTTGTAACTAACAATCAACCATGTTTTGATAATACAGCAAAATGCCTTTTATTCATTGTTCTGGAATGCAATCCTGGCAGGCCCACATTATCAGTAGTTATTTTTATGGACGTACAACACCTCCTTCCCCATTAAATGTTCACCCCTAATCAGGATCAATTGTGCTATATTTGAATTATCACTGTTGTTCAGCTGGCTGGTAGTCTGAATCATACTGTATGTAGACATAACTAGATTGCATGTTCTTAGAATGAAGAACGTGACACACGTCCTCCTCCCAACAGCTGACTGAGGAAGCAAGACAATAGAATGACTTGGAACACATTTTAAAAGCTCCAAAATGTTTGTTGAATTCCGGGGCCAGATTCTGATCAAAGGTAAAACAAAAGGAGTAATTCCATTGACACTGAATTTACTCAGATGTTGCTGAAATCATCATCTGGCCCCAAAGGAGGTCACCTGGATTTTGCAGAGAATTTCAAGCTTGTTCCTGAGAAGTAATCAATTACTTAACTGCGGTATTCTGTGCTCCTGGGAGTGTTATCTTTCATATAAGACAAAGCTGGTGCCTTGGCAATTTGTATCATTAAACAGCTCATGGCAATTTGGGATATTAACCTCAGTATCCTAGCAAATACAGTGTCAGATAGTTATTTAAAATCTATAATTTAAACTAAATATTGGATTTTGCACTCCCTGTCCTAAGTGGTTCAGCTGGGCACCCTCCTTCTGTTCCAGAGAAAGTTTATGAGTAGATAAAAATATATACATGAAATTTGGTTTATTATTAATTTTTATGCTTGATAGTTGGCAAAAGGATTAATGTAAGATAATAGGCCAATGGGAAGCATAGTTAACAGTTAAGAGCCACATACTACTCCTTGGGTTGTCTGCTTTGTACTGTGTAGCTATGGGCTATGATTAGGGGGTAAAAGGTATTTTTGGTTTTTGTGTGTATAGGGGTAGGCACTGTGTTAACTGACAGCAGGATGAATGACTTGTATGCCAAATAGACAGTGATAATGCTGAACAGTGCTCTCAAATCATGTTGGAAGGGGTGATTCTTGCCCCCTACCTCTGTGTAATTCACACTAGATCCCCCCAGGCAAATGGCTTTGGTCTGTCTTCATTCCGAGGATGTGTGCTAGGCAAAAAAGTCCTAAGTGAAGAGTTCTAAGTTACATGAAGTTTTACAAGAGATCATATTTACAGGAACCATTGTATCTCTGCATCGTTTGAAACATTTCTGCATTCTTTCCTCTGTTGGCCCTGCCTGTGGTGATTTTGTTCTCAGGTACTCTTGTATCTAAAAATTACATTTTTTAAAAATGTAAAAGCTCAGAGGCATTTCTGCCACCTCAATGTCAATGATATATCTGAAATGAAACTCATCCCAAGATGACATTTCATCTCATAGCTTCCTACACAGATTTAAAAGACCATTAACCACTGTCACTCTGTATTAATCATGCTTGGGGTGTCTGAATTGGTCCTTTACTTCCCTCATAAAATCATCAGGAGAAAAACAAACGTTGAAAATGCAATGAAAACCTGAAAGTCTTCATTTGGTCTTCATCCTAATATTACTAATTCTCTCACAGACAAACCAAGGATGTCTCCAGAGTGATTAGCAAAAGAACAGTGTTAATTTAGCTTCCTCATGGTGAATGTAATTCATTAGCATTAATTGCTCATCTTCAAAGACTATACAAGTCCAATTTAATCCCTAAAGAAGACCATTAAGGTCCAAAGAAATTGATGTTCCCAGATTTCACAGTAAGAGAAGCTCTGAAGTACAGAACAGACTTACAGGCCTGAAATCTTTTTATTTATAAGGGCTGGTATGAATGAAGCTTTCAGTTCCACTGTGGGACAACTATCAGTTAAATGAGGATCCTGTAAATAACTCTGAAATTGTATCTCCTTTCCACAGTGAAGTGTGTGTGGAAAAGATTGCCTTGTTCAGTCATCCGGTCTTTAAAGTAGATAAAAATATTGAGAGCATAGAGCTTCCACACCTTTGCTGGAAGACCACCTCTTTAACTAACTGCTAAGTCCCTGAAGTACTTAAGGTAGGCTGCATTCTGTACATAAAGTTTCAGCTGTAAAATACATACTGGCGGACATATTCATCCTTTGATTTTTCTGCTAACTTAAAAAGCAAGGTGTGCGCTCTTGCTCTCTCTCTCACTCTCTTTTTCCATACTTTTGTACAATGTCTAGTTAGTATAAGACAGGGGTATACAACTCACCTGGCCCTGTGGGTTGGATGAGTGGTGCAGGGTCAGTTCATGAGCCAGATGAGTTGGACCTCCAGACCTGACTCTCTCCCTGCCCCGACATGCCAGATCCAGCCATACATATGGCGCTTGCTCCAGCTGTTAAGGGACTATGCCTCATGCAATGCCCATGCAGGGCCAGTCCAGAATGCACACTGCATGCAGTGTCCACTCCAGCTGGTACAAGACCCATGTTACATGTGATGCATGCCCTGGAGCGGCTGGGGGGCTAGCTGGAGAGGGTGCCATGAGTGATATACAACACAGATTGGCTGAGGAAGGTGGCATGTATCCTAGACTGGCCAGGGTGGGTGCTATGTATAATGCATGTACTGGGCCTGGCATACAGGGCCAGTCTACTGCACGATGCCTGAGGTATGTGGGTTAGCTCTGGACCCTAGGGCAGCACTGGAGGCTGGATGATGGGGCTATGCAGGCCATACCTTTGACACCCCACGTATAAGATATTTTCGTTTATGTTCCTTTCTTATGACTTGATTTGAAAGCAATAATTCATCATTTCAATAGGGGTAGACAAAATTCCAGGAGTTAACAGGATGCAAATTTAAGCCTATTACGAGGCTTAAAGAAAATAAATGAGAATGGCGCCTCCTTTTTGTAGCTTGGGAGACCATTCCTTTAGTTTTCAGTTTTACGCATAATTTATCAGTATGTATGAACTGTGGCAGGCAATAAGGGTAGAGAAATCCCATGCAAGAGTAAACTAGATGAAACAAAACAAACTGCATTTGCCACCTAAATGAACACACAAAGACATGGTACAAAACCAGTGTGTGATCTTTCTTCTTAGTAGTCAAAACAAAACATAATGAACTAATAAGAAAAAGAGTACTACTCAGCATTCATAAAAACCACCTATGGGAGGCAAGGACTTGTCATGGGATGGTGAAGACTCTGACCAGCTGAATAACAGGTAGGGAGTTGTATCTGGATAGTTTAGAACCCAGATGTTCCCAGTAATCTATCTTGTGCCTCTATGAAAACAGTCATAATTGTACACGTACATCTCAAAAGGTATAGCCATACATCTAGGAATACATATACCTTTTCTTATCCTTATATGTATAACTTTAATATTTATTTACTGTAATGGTTTGGTGGTAGATGGGCAGAACTGATTGGTCTTACAGTACTAACTGTTCTCCTTGGGCATGTCTACCCATTCATTAAAGAAGTGGTTACTGCACATTTAATTTAGTACTTGTATAATCAAGTACTAAATAAATCTGCACTAACTGGAGTTACTGTGTAATAGCACTGGTGAACACCTTTTTAATGGCACTGCTGCACAGTAGCCTAATAATATGATGCAGCAGCGTATTAGCACTGCCTATGCTGTGATGTGCTTCTGTGCAGTATTATTAGGCTACTGCACAGTTAGCATCTCTGTAGATGTGCCCCTTTTTTCCATAAGTTCCTACAGGTGCTTTTAATTCCAAGAGAGAGCCCAAACACCTGTAGAATAAATGAAGACAAGGGAAAGGATCCTGAATAGCTTGCCTCCTTGACAAGCTGCAAGACAGCAAGAGAATGCTACAGTATCTTTAGGGAGTAGAGCACAGGAACTGGAGCTGCTAGTACCCAACAGAACCAAAAGGAGGGAAATGTCTAAGCAGTGGAGATGTGGGTATCATAAGCAAGAAGGATGAGGGGCAGAGGAAGATGGAGCACAATACTTTGTGTAGGGATCCAGAAAAGAAGGGGACCTAGAAAAGGACTGCATGTGCAGGGGAACATGTGCAGGGTCAACCAGGAAGAACAGGCACATGGAAGAGGGAAATATAATGAAGAGCAAGGGGAGAGAGGAGAACTCATTTATTTCAAAAGAACAGAGACTACTTATCCTGTTAAATGCAATTAAACACATAGAAGTACCTTCTTCACATTATTTTTCTAAATAGTTGCTGCAAGTATTTTGCTTATGGATGAGTAGGACTGTGGCCATTTGACTAGGAGGAATGGTGGCCTACAAGACTTCAGACAGGAGGAGAGGTGTCTTTGAAATATTCTCTGTGTAAGAGGCAAGGATTTGTTAGGGTGATATCTTTTACTGGACCAACCGTAGAATTAAACAAGCTTTTGAATGCAAGACATTCTTCACCCACACTTTGAAGAAATCTGAGAATCCCCACCCTGATGAATTTGTTCAAGGATGACACACAGGAAATACTAATGCACATACAAACATCTATAGAGAAGCTTTTTCACAAACATCTTCACAACAACTGCACAAAAAAAGACACTATGAAACTTGATATTGGGCAGTTGCTTTCTTTAACAGAGGAAGTGGCACAGAGTGTTCACAACACCTACTTACCAGTTAAGTGATTGGCAATCCTGGCAATGGGTTTAGGAGGCAGGGCAGGGGGCTGTTTGAGGAGGGACAACTGTTTCATTGGGGTGTCCTCATGGTCTCCAAGGAAAGCAGCAGATTTTTTGGGGGGAAGTAGCAGGACTGGTTTAGCTGAAGGATCTTGGGACAGGAGGACTCCAGACTCATTGGAAGTGGGGCTCTCTTCAGACACTGGAGGACACAACCACATCATAGACGCAACAATATTACAAGCAAAGCGGAAGCAGAAAACAGCAATAGTAAAACAAGAAAAGCAACACAGTGATGCAGATTAAAAACATGACCAGTAGTTTTCACTCAAACATCATAAAACACAGAAAGAGAGATGGAGAGAAAGAAGAAGAGAAAGAAGGAGAAAGAGAGAGAGAGATGTACACAACAGGCCAAACCATCCATTAACACCAGAAGAGCTCCTCTTGCTTACACCAGGGTTGAATTTAGTCCTACATCTTTAGCACAATCAAGAACTTTGAAGTCTCAAATTCTAGCCTCTCCAGAGAGGTAAAACTGCAGTTGTTCAGATTAATATAAGTAATTGGCCTATAAGATTATCCTCCCACACCTATAACGTCATATCCATCATATTTTCAATAGAGCACACAGTTGTACAGGATCATAGATGTGCAATTATACCAGTCATTTGCTCCTTCTCACTTTTAATCTTCGGAGCAATGTTTACGATCACTGTATATCTTGTATCTTGAAATTACTTTGCAAAAGTGGTAGAGCTGAAAAGCAAAAGAATTGGTCGGTGAGGCCCCAATCCACCCTCTGCCCCTCCAGCTCACGCCAGGGTAAGCCCAGCTGGCAGTTCAGTGCTTTTCACTTCCCCCTCCCTCCCTGTTGGCAGCCTGGGAGCTGGGGGGG